TATATATATATATATATATATATATATATATATTGTAGAAATAGTTCTTAGTTTAACAAAAGATGTGTGGAGCTGATAACAATTTATACTTACATACAGAATTTAGCCTAAACTAAGAAAAGCCTGAGCACAGCACATGCAAATCCAAGTTAGATATAAACAGGACGCCTATGCAACTGACATTACTAAGATCAAAAATAAAAGAAGTTAACTTATAGCAACAGATAAAATAAAAGAAAAATGATCTGGAAAAATCTAGACATAATTTGCAGCGTTATTAAATAAAAGTGGCAAGTAAACCCTGTTTGGAAAGCACAGCTTGGCCGCACAAGAGTATCTGGATTGTAATTCTTAATCGAATTAGCCATTTCGGTTGTGATTTATAAATGCGTCCCAGATGCTGATCTAACTGGCAAGATGCATCCCTTTTCCCATATTGCAGACTACTTTATACGCTGCCATGAGTAGACAAAACACATAATCACTTAGGCATATCATAAATGAAGCACCAAAATCCATACAGATATTAAGTCGGTTTCTAATTATTTTCCACGTATGGTTACTACTAATGACTACCGATAAATAAACTTTTTAGCAGTTTAGTAAGTGTAGTGTAGGAAACCAATAACCTATAAAAGTGCAGGCAGCTGTGAAACCTACTTATGAATTGTCATACAGATCGCAAGCAACAAAAGAATAGTGAACAGGTAAAAAGAGGCAGATCACGAAAATTCAAGATTACCGTATGTGTTGGCTTATCTTCAGTTTCTTGAGTCTTCATTTTTGCTTGCTGCGTCCTGCTTGCTTGGCCTACAACAAAATTTTGGAAACCGTAACATTTTTTTGACTCAGCGAAATACTTAAGGAATTATTTTTAAAAAAACCATATTCTAAAAATCAGAAACCTTTCCCGCGTAATGATGGCCTCGACCCTCTCGCTGGAACAATGAAAGGCGCCGGAGCATTGTCATTTGCAGCACGCATAGGATCAGCGACAAAGCTAGCAGTATTCGACTGATACACAGATGACGGCTCCGAAGTATACTGTTTTGTAGGGGAGGGCATGACTCGTAAACCAGGCTGCTCATAACCCCTTTCCGCAAACCTTAAAAACACAAAATCCAAAAAAGTTTGAACTAAGAAGCTATTTGCTAAAAAAAAA